AGGAATACATCATATTGTAACTGTTAGGTACCACGAGGAATACATCATATTGTAACTGTTAGGTACCACGAGGAATACATCATATTGTAACTGTTAGGTACCACGAGGAATACATCATATTGTAACTGTTAGGTACCACGAGGAATACATCATATTGTAACTGTTAGGTACCACGAGGAATACATCATATTGTAACTGTTAGGTACCACGAGGAATACATCATATTGTAACTGTTAGGTACCACGAGGAATACATCATATTGTAACTGTTAGGTACCACGAGGAATACATCATATTGTAACTGTTAGGTACCACGAGGAATACATCATATTGTAACTGTTAGGTACCACGAGGAATACATCATATTGTAACTGTTAGGTACCACGAGGAATACATCATATTGTAACTGTTAGGTACCACGAGGAATACATCATATTGTAACTGTTAGGTACCACGAGGAATACATCATATTGTAACTGTTAGGTACCACGAGGAATACATCATATTGTAACTGTTAGGTACCACGAGGAATACATCATATTGTAACTGTTAGGTACCACGAGGAATACATCATATTGTAACTGTTAGGTACCACGAGGAATACATCATATTGTAACTGTTAGGTACCACGAGGAATACATCATATTGTAACTGTTAGGTACCACGAGGAATACATCATATTGTAACTGTTAGGTACCACGAGGAATACATCATATTGTAACTGTTAGGTACCACGAGGAATACATCATATTGTAACTGTTAGGTACCACGAGGAATACATCATATTGTAACTGTTAGGTACCACGAGGAATACATCATATTGTAACTGTTAGGTACCACGAGGAATACATCATATTGTAACTGTTAGGTACCACGAGGAATACATCATATTGTAACTGTTAGGTACCACGAGGAATACATCATATTGTAACTGTTAGGTACCACGAGGAATACATCATATTGTAACTGTTAGGTACCACGAGGAATACATCATATTGTAACTGTTAGGTACCACGAGGAATACATCATATTGTAACTGTTAGGTACCACGAGGAATACATCATATTGTAACTGTTAGGTACCACGAGGAATACATCATATTGTAACTGTTAGGTACCACGAGGAATACATCATATTGTAACTGTTAGGTACCACGAGGAATACATCATATTGTAACTGTTAGGTAGCACAAGGAATACATCAGATTGTAACTGTTAGGTACCACGAGGAGTACATCATATTGTAACTGTTTGGTACCACGAGGAATACATCATATTGTAACTGTTAGGCACCAAGAGGAATACATCATATTGTAACTGTTAGGTACCATTAGGAATACACCATATTGTAACTGTTAGGCACCAAGAGGAATACACCATATTGTAACTGTTAGGTAGCACAAGGAATACACCATATTGTAACTGTTAGGTAGCACAAGGAATACACCATATTGTAACTGTTAGGTAGCACCTTTAACATTTACAGAGTAGATATAGCTCGCTAGAGATAGAATATCAGTGTAGGTACCTTTCACCTGTAACAGGAATCATAACCCAACACCAGTGACCGGTTATAATATGGTAAAGCTTTACAGTAATGTGTCAATAATTTGGGGTGAGGATGTGTATCTAAAAGATGTTAGCACCAAAACCTAATGTCGCACTGCTTAACAACGACAATATAGCAACAACATTTATCAATAATTTTACAAAAAAATAATCACAACAATATGTTATAAACACTACAGCAAATAGCAAGTTTAAAACAAACATGAGAAAATGTACTAATTATGTATTTATTTTCTATGTACAAAATATTTATGGATAAATCTTGAAATTTATTACAGGTTTATATATACATGTATTAGGATATATATTGAAATATGATAGCGTTTTATAGCACTTGATGCATTTCATTGTATGTATTTCAATTTGTTGTTTTCTTTAAGAACATTTCTATTGCAGTGTTTTTCCCATTTTGTGTGTGTTCGTTTTGTTTCCTCGGAATCAGCTGTGTTTTTCTATCATGTTTTCATTTGAATGAAGTAGTTGATTTATTTTGAAATATATTTTTGCATTAATTATTTTAATTTGGACTTTGACATTTCTGAAATATTACACAAAAATGCCTGCATTGATATTACTCATGGAATATAGGAAATACCACAAGAATAAGGGAGATAATTCTAATACCAAATCACAGTAAAAATATGTAAGGTAGCATATATCCTTAGTACCATGCCTTATTCCTATTCCTAGCAATAAATGTAATTAGCAATCCAATTTAAATAAATAGTATTAATTTCTCTGCTTTTTCACATTTCCAGATACATTGCATTTTACATTCTAGAATATGATTTTTAGAAAGCAGAACTGCATTCATAATGCCTATTATAACTTTGCTTTTAAATTGTAAGCATCCCAGATATGTATAGAATGACATCTGTATCCACCTTCCTAAGTGATTGGCCTGTTTTTGAAACCAGAACATACTTGATGATCACTGTGTTATTAAAAGTATCTATCAGGTTTTAACATGACCATTTTCAAAAACAAAACTTAATACGGACGGTATCAGTGTTATCTTATTCCATTTTGTAAAACAAAAACTTCCTGGAAATATGTTATGAAAAAGAGCATGTGAAATGTTTGAAATAGCATATTTATAACATTACCCCAAAAATTCATATATTTTCAAGGTCTTGACTGCACCGAAAATACCAAAGCTCATGACTTGATCACAGACCTTTTTCAAAAGATTGGTCCTAGCAGTTTATTCACCAAAATTTACTTTATCGCAATAAGAGCTTATGAAAAATTCCAAGATATGATATATTCAGTGTAAAACTATTCACCAGCTAATGTGTTTACAGCATGTGTGTTGTGTGTCACCGTTATAGCCACCTGTTTATCTCTCCTGTAGAAGTAAGTGACGGCAGTACCGGTGAAGACTTCCATTTGTCTGTGAAAACAAAGAAGACAAGGGAGGAAACCACAGACTTTGCTAAACTTAGCAGTAAAACCCCACATAAGGTTTTTGTATTGCCATTTACTTTAACTTCTATATTTAACAATGAGTTACAGTTTCAGTTGGCTTTCATACGTGTATGAATTATACTCCCTTAGTTTATGTTCTTGTTAGTTGTCTGTCCTGTAAAACATTATCTTGAGTCAAGTGATACAGTGAAATATCTAAACTGGTAGCCGAAATATCCACGCATTTCTAATTTATTGAGAGGTTGATGCATTTCCTACAAACTGCATCTACAAAGAATTTGAAAGTATATGAAAAACTCTACAAAATATTTCAGGTGTTTTATTTTGAAAAAGCTAAGTGAACAGTTTGTTTAATTTGACCATGCTATTGAACTATTGGTATGCCAACAGAAGGGAAAAAGCCATATCTACTTAGAACTTTAGTTGTAGAATCACAGTACTTACTTAGAACTTTAGTTGTGGAATCACAATACTTACTTAGAACTTTAGTTGTGGAATCACAGTACTTACTTAGAACTTTAGTTGTGGAATCACAGTACTTTTACTTGGAGGAATCCTACATTATTTTACCTAAACATTTAGTTTAATTGTCTATAGACAAAGGAAATCCTCTATGGACATACAACCTGTAAACAAAGTCCTGGCTGATATCACCATGGTGATGCTTTGTCTGTAGGGACAATGATGTCACAATATCAGATGTAGAGTTATTCTTTAGCATGTAAGGTCAACATGAATGCTAACTTAACATCAAAGGTTCAAAAAATTAATACCATATAATAATCAGTATCATAATATTTCACATGAATGTACCAATTAACTTTAGTTCTTTGCATTGAACTGCTTCAGACTTAGCCTACAGAAACTAGAGACCTGATGGTGACTGAGTAATCAAACATTCTAATCTAAATAATAATGTACCTTAATTAAAAATTGTAAAATTTCATTTTTATTATACGCCACACATATAAACACTTTTTGGTGGTGCTACAGGAATCTTTTTATAATCCATACTTACCAACCCGAAGAAAATGTTTAGAAATAATGTACCTGATTTGCTATTGGTAGTAGTTATATAGGCTACTATCATTCAATAAATCAGATGTTACTTTGTTAATTGCTAAAAATAGTTTTACACAAAGTATTCAGAATCAGATCTTGCTTAAAATTTGGCAATTTTAGACATTTTTCAAACAATGAATTGGGATCAGACTTTTTGTTTCATTTTGATGTTAGATTACAATTGTGTTCTTACATTTAAAAAAAAATGAATCTTAGTCACAATTAGGAACTCAGTGTTACTAATTTTAACCTTTTGTTTGTTGCTGTAGTTATATTAAGTGCTGCAAACCTGTCATGTTTTCTTTCTCAGCAGTTGCTTACTATTGTTGTATCAACATAACGATACAACTCCCTGCCCCCTGTGACTTTTCAGTCCTCTCAGACGGTGACTCCTCCAGTTTAAGTGGCCACTTGACAGATTCATCTGTTATCCTTCGAGGCTTTGTTGTATTCACTCTGACACTAACTTGTAGATGGCACTGTATCTGTTATCCTTCGAGGCTTTGTTGTATTCACTCTGATACTACTTGTAGATGGCACTGTATCAGTTATTCTTCGGGGCTTTGTTGTATGACACTACTTGTAGATGGCACTGTATATCCTGCATGTCCCCCCTGACCTATGCCACTATTAATTTCTCTACCACAGCTTCAGTGTCCTGACACCAATGCTAGGATGACCTACAGTGTGTTTGATATATCAGAACCTTGACATCACTGGTGAATTGGCACCACAGCAGAACTTGTGCAGAATTAACCCACCATTACTAGGATCTTTATCAAAGGTCCAACAGCACCTATTTGTGGCACCTGTGGCATGGTTTGGTTTGTAACACCGAGGTGCCTCTGATATTGTGGTTGCCTTGGTAGGAATTGTTGCAACCCTACCTTCCTGAGTCGAGTCATTCGACAGTTCTTGAGTGAGTTGGTTTGTTGTTTTAAAGATGAGCAGCACACCTTGAAAAAGAGACAGGAGTCCAAGAGTGTTTCTGGTTCTACCTTGACGGGGGCCGGGGCCCTGACCCTGGAGGTTCCACACAACATCAGTAGAAGGAAGAGTAGTGTCGGTAGCTTCGAGTCTCTGTCTCCGTTTGTCCTGATGGAGCGACGGAAGAGCTCTGTATGTGCTGACCTATTTTCTCCCTCGATGGCTGACCGAAGAATGTCCAGTGCTGTAAGTCCTGCTGTTGAGTGGGATCATCATCTACCATATTGTTATGCCTCTTTGACAGGTTTCTTCAATCCACAAATTCCCAACAAGGTCTTGAGCATACTGATAGTGTTTATTGCCCCTTTGATGATTTATGCATCTGAAATTTTGTGAGATGTTTCAAAGAAATTTCAAATTGTTTGATTAGTTTGAAGGAATTTCATTTCGAACCATTTTTTTTTAACCAATTAGTACATTATAATGTGCCTCTCAGAATGATGTTCAATTCCTGACCATTAGATAGCAAGTTCACACCTGCATTTACTCATTCACCCCTGAAATTTCATAATGAACTATTCCAATCTTTGAATTTGAAGAGTTCAAATATGTCTTCAGGGGTAAATGCGTTAAAATTGAATCTCAAAGAAACTTTATAGAATTTCTTTTGGTTTTGCAGTTTAAAATATTATTAAATGCTATGGATTGTAATCTGATAGGCGTATTTTGTGCCATTTCTGGTTCAGATTTTGATACAAGGCTTGCTCTGGCTGACAACACAGTTAACTTGGTTTTTGACTTAAGCTTGTTCTGGCTGACGACACAGTTAAAACCTTGATGTGGTGTATGACGAAATAAATAATCTGGTTTTTCTTGACCTGTAATTTGAGATAACCTTCCTTTTGGCTTCTGGACTCTCCAGATACGTGAAATGATTCTAAAGATTGGTTTTCTTGGTGTCCTTGACATGATAGCATCTTGAATCCTGTTCGACGACATTGACTTCAGTTTGCTGTGTTTCCCATGGTATGATTGACAACTGCATGGAATCTTAAACTCAGTGTATCTGTTCCTGCAAATGTTACTGCTACTGTTTCCCCAGTGTGTTTGTCACTGTACATTCAGTGCTGCTTTATTGACTGTTTAATCTGGCCTGTGTGTTTGCCACTGTACATGCAGTGCTGCTTTATTAACTGTTTGATCTGGCCCGTGTGTTTATCACTGTACATACAGTGCTGTTTTATTGACTGTTTGATCTGGCCTGTGTGTTTGTCACTGTACATGCAGTGCTGCTTTATTGACTGTTTAATCTGGCCCGTGTGTTTGTCACTGTACATGCAGTGCTGTTTTATTGACTGTTTGATCTGGCCCGTGTGTTTGTGTCTGTACATTCAGTGCTGTTTTATTTACTGTTTGATCTGGCCCGTCCGCCTGTCACTGTACATGCAGAGCTGTTTTATTGACTGTTTTATCTGGCCCGTGTGTTTATCACTGTATGTACAGTGATAAACACACGGGCCAGATCACACAGTCAATAAAGCAGTACTGAATGTACAGTGCCAAACACACGGGCCAGCTAAAACAGTCAATAAAGACAATTACATAACACAAAACTGGGACTGTGTATACTGACAAGTACATGTACTTTCAGAGAATGTACATGTACTTGTCAGTATACACAGTCCCAGTTTTGTGTTATGTAATTGTCTTTATTGACTGTTTAATCTGGCCCGTGTGTTTGCCTCTTTACATTCAGTGCTGCTTTTTTGACTGTTTGATCTTGCCCGTGTGTTTGCCACTGCACATGCAGTGCTGCTTTATTGATTGTTTGATCTGGCCCGTCCGCCTGTCACTGTACATGCAGAGCTGTTTTATTGACTGATTGATCTGGCCCGTGGGTTTGGCACTGTACATTCAGTACTGCTTTATTGACTGTTAGATCTGGCCCGTGTGGTTGCCACCGTACATGCAGTGCTGGTTTATTGACTGTTTAATCTGGCCCGAGTGTTTGTCACTGTGCATTCAGTGCTGCTTTTTTGACTGTTTGATCTGTACCGTGTGTTTGTCACTTTACATGCAGTGCTGCCTTATTGACTGTTTGAACTGGCCCGTGTGTTTATCACTGTACATACAGTGCTGTTTTATTGACTGATTGATCTGGCCCGTGGGTTTGCCACTGTACATACAGTGCTGTTTCATTGACTGTTTGATCTTGCCCGTGTGTTTGCCCCTGTACATGCAGTGCTTCTTTATTGACTGTTTAATCTGGCCCGTGTGTTTATCACTGTACATACAGTGCTGTTTTATTGACTGTTTGATTTGGCCCGTGTGTTTGACACTGTACATTCAGTGCTGATTTATTGACTGTTTGAACTGGCCCGTGTGTTTATCACTGTACATACAGTGCTGTTTTATTGACTTTTTGATCTGGCCCGTGTGGTTGCCACTGTACATTCAGTGCTGCTTTATTGACTGTTTGATCTGGCTGTGTTGGTTCTTTTTTTCCTACTTTTCCTTCCTATATCTTCATTTGCTGAATAATGCACTTTAACTTTTTGAATTTTGATTGAAACATTATATTCTTCTGTACAAGTGCATGTCTAAGGTTACAACAACTTATAAGTAACATATGAGGTAATGGTATTGTTGTTGAAGTAAAAAAAAAATACTGTATGTTAAAAAAAAAGAACTTTTATATAAATCGTATAAATTCTTCAAACATGCATCCTGTATTTATAACTAGCATTATAACTACAAAAATGATATTTTAGACGAATTATTAACAGAAATCCTTAACCTAAAGGTGGAGTTGTCCATCTTGGTGCTTTGTGCGATGAGTTTGGAACACATTACATTGTGCTAGGCTATCTTTTAATTCTATAACTGCTTCGCAAAAGGCTGTGCATCCTGATGCTTATATAAAGCAACCAGGGATTACATTGGTTGTAGTTGTTTATGAATTAGTTACACATAGAATTTGACAATAAAACTTGATTGCATATGACTGTGATTCAGATTTGAGGAACTTGTACAGAAAAACAGGTTGAAGTAATTGATTTCATGGACTAGGGTCATAATTTGATTACCGTATCTCAACTCCTCGGGATTTAGATGTACCAGTTTACAGCCAATTTAAAACACAAAGACCCACCTCTGTTAAATCAATATTTACTGTAAATTATGTATTGCATTGTGAAAAAGTATTCAATATCTAATTTTAAGATACAGTTCAAAGTTAAAATTATAAGAATATTAAGCTTGAGAAATATATGGAGTGATTTTAATCGTTTTGGAAGAAAAATAATCAGTACATTGCCATACAATTTGACAGGTAATATCGGGAACACCCGCAGTGTCCCTAAATCAGTCTGTGTATGATGGTGCAGAGGAGGACAATATCATGATGGATCGACAAGGTCAATGGATCCGAAGACGGAGACTGGATGGGGCACTGAACCGTGTCCCTGTCGGATTCTATCCCAGAGTGTGGCATTTCCTCAATACAGTAGGTATTCGTTAGAGAAAGCTATAAACAGAAAGATACTATACATATATTTTATAACTAATGCTGATTGTATAGGCACCAATCTTTTCCTAACTTCTATCAAGCCTATTTCATCCAAAGCTTAGTGAAAATGTTTTTTATATGGCCTCACAAATGGTGTTTCTGGCAGCTACCACAGCTAATGGTTGAAATTTAAACTGACAGTTTCTCCTTTCGTATGTGACTTTATATATCTTGGTTTTCCTTTCCTTAGTGGCAAGATCTAGAGATCAAAAGTTAAGACCTCTTCACTTTTCAGGGTTTAAACTCTTGTAGAGCTATTTATCCTAAAAATTAAATTAAAAAAAAATGCATAAATATGTTCACTGTTTGCAGTTCGGTTCTGGAGTGTCGGTAGAGGGAGAGCACTTACCGCAGAACCTCACCAAGGAGGTATGTATTCATGTCCTCGTACATTTACCTTGAGCAATTAATTCAGAAAGATACCTCACAGCTCCTACTGAACAAATTCTTGAAAAATTTAGTGATTGGGAAAAATTAATACTCAAATAAAGATAAGGGCTGGAAATAACTGGTAAACTCTGGGTCATATGATCTTGAATTTACAGTGAAGAATGATAATTCAAATGCTGTATTTAAATCCTGTAGGTTACTGTCTGTTCCTATTTATGAATATAATTGCTTTGTAGATGACGTCAGGAGAGTTGAAATTCGCACTGCGAGTTGAGATGGCACTGAATCGAATACCCCAGCCAGAGTACCGCCAGCTGATGGTGGAGGCGCTCATGGTGGTCACACTCATCAGCGAGAATGAGTGGAAACATGATTTCTGCAATGTGATCCATATTGATAAAATGGTTCACGAGGCTAACAATCTGTATATACAGGATCAGGTGAGATATATTCAGCGGGACTAAAATCAATGCCTGGACTACATGACACTTTGATCCTTGTTAATCAAAACCTGTCTTCTTCTTATCTTAGCTGTTGAGAAAACATTAATTGCTGATCAAAAAGTAATAATTCAGAAATTGCTTTCAAACATATTATAGGACATCACAGGAAAATGTTGTTATGTTTTTATTAGTAAACAATGTTGAAATATGATTTTGTCAATTTCACTATGCTAACCTGATATTGCTGATATGGTCTATTTATGTTGAGGTGCATTCTTTGTTGGGTAAAAATTACAATGGGATATTAGTAAAACTTGTCAAACTTCGGAAAGGAAGTTTGAATTTTCACCTTATTTAAATATTTTCAAAGCTGCTGGAGGGATTGACTTAATACTTAACAGTGATGCAAAGTCTTTTTCTCCTGAACAGAAAATGCCAGCAGCTGTGGCACTGGAATGTGAGGCGGCTGCAGGAATATGCCACCACTTTTATGACAGTGCTCCTAGTGGGCGCTACGGTACCATGTCCTACCTCTGTAGAGCTCTGGCCAACATCCTAGGTGTTCCGGCTGGTTCCACGGACAGTATTGAGTGTGCTATTAGCTGATACAGATAAATTAACTAGGATTTATTTATAACATGCTGGCATATCATTCCTCATTGTCCCACTTCTTTGATTCCTTTTCTGTAACTACACTTTGTGGCGAATATATATTTTAGTCTACCATGTACTTGTACTCAGACTTGTAAAGACTGTGTAGGAAGTACACTCTGCGGTGAACATATTCAAGTCTACAATCTACTTAAACTTATAAAGTTTATATTGGACTAATGTATAGGCCTAGTCTAGGAATCCTGTAGAGCTGCCTTTATATGAGTTTTCTTTATATACATGTAAGAGTTAACATAACCATATTGAACGATGCCAAAAACCTTCTTAACTGTCATGATAAATATGAATATGAATATGAATATGACTGATTTGTGTTCTTACTAGCATGATTGTGTAAATAAAACATGCATATATTTATTTTCAAAATTTTTAGTGATCGTACTGTAAATATTTCCTAATATTTGCATTATTTAAATAGATGTATCGTCAGTGGAAACAATATTCCTAGAACAGCCAAACTCCGCCTAAATGTTTGACCCTTGTGATGTTCTCGTGTTATATCAGCAGGAGGTGAAGCACCAGAATGACACTGACACCATAGCTATGAACACAGTTTCTTCTGGTGGTGTAGTAATATAGGGACTTACAACAGAAATATAGATATATGAGATTGATGTTAACCTTTATAGTTTAGACTGAATTACATTCATTTGGTGATGTTGACAAATGTTTGGTGCTAAAGTATTTTGTGTGTTAATTATTGCTGTTCAAAGAAAACCTACATTAAGGTGACAACTTTGTGACAACTTTGTCAGAACTTCTGCAGTAGTGAATCTTCTTTTTCAAAAGTACCTTGTCAAATATATTCAGGAAGATTTATTTACCTTTCTTATTCAAGACATGGAAGCTTTTGACAATTTTTTGAGTATTTAAAATTTGATAAGGATAAAAACGAATTTTTACTTAGGAATCTCAGCTTCATAAAGTTCAACTTTGTATAAGCAGTCAAAACTACAGTAGATCAATAAAACATACATGCTCTGTATTATTTTTATGCATTGAATTTTTTTTCATTGTTTTCCTGTTGAGACAAAAAATGCAGGAATATTTGAAACAAGAAGTTGAATCTTAAAATACCCAAATGTCATAAAATGAGTAATTTTGTGAATTCTTATTGATCACTCGTTAACATTGATATGGAGTAAAGCTACCATTTTTGCAGGGTCAACTGTGGCTATAGTGTAGTGAATGCCATTTTTCTTGGGTGAGATTCACAGGTATGTAGTATATAATCCTAATATTTCTGTCAGGAGTGAATCACAGCTATGATCCCAGGTGCTTCTACTTACCTGTTGTAATCAGGTAGAATCATACCCAAATCAAGTGTCCTATGATACAGTAGATATACTTCCATTATTGCGTGGTTTGTTAGGAGTTACTTCCCTTCTCTCTAAGTATACAAACACTGATGTTTTTGTTGAGAAAAGTACCTGTTGTGATCATAATTAGCATATGTGTGCTATATGTTCTTTTTTTATGTTTTTTTTCCCACAAACCTGAACTCCATTGAGTAAGATTTTATGATTTTATTAATATACATATAATTATTAGTATACATATAATTATTAGTATACATATAAAAAGAATTGTGTTTGAAGAGTGCCATTCCTATGAGGATCAGTGGTAGTAGGCAGAGGAAATGCAGTTTGATGACGGTAAAAGATGAGTAAGAATGTATTAAAACTCGGGACAAAACTTGTGGATCAAACGATACCATTTTGGAATGTTGGTAGAGTTACTAAGAGACTGCCTGGTAACTAGCATTGACATTCTATTGAAACCCTACTTGCTTGTCTGTATAACCTTCAACATAAGTGTTATTAAGTTAGATGGACCTTCGTTATCGAGTCAGTATATTATTAGGTGAAGTTAGTGTGCTGAAGCTTAAGGTGCATGGTAGCAATTGGACTTCAGCATTGACAAGCCTGCTCAGTCAATAGGATGAATTCCTTTTCCTGTCCCAGTGTGTTGTGTTAGCAGGCTATCCGATGTGACAAAACCTAATTCATGTTTTAAAATAGTGCAATATTAACCCTGCTAGTTCTACAACGAAAGTCCTGACCAGTGTTGGGGCTGTCATAGGACTATGTGTACCGATTGTTAACATTTTCTATTACTTACCAACAAAGAGTTATGTCCCTTCTCATTACTTTCAGAGAATGTACATGTACTTGTCAGTATACACAGTACCAGTTTTGTGTTATGTAATTGTGAAACATGTAAATGTTTAAGTGTTTATTTGTGTCCCAGCCATAATTCAGTTGACAATGCAGTTCCAGCTTAGTTTGATATATTGTAGATCATGTAAAATCGTAAACAATATAATCATGTTCTAATATCCCAACTTAACCTTTTTACAACTGAACCATTGCCTAGTACAGTAATAGTTATACATGTAGACTATGTGCCTTTGCCTGGTATAGTCATACATGTAAACTGTTTTTAATTACAATAAAATAAAGTTTTAATTACAATTAGTCGACTAAGATATAAAGAAACTTTATACTCCAGCGGTTAATTGGTACCGACACTAGTATCGTGACTGCAGTTTTTCCAGGTAATGTCCCATGTAGGTAGTTAGTTATTTTAGATACCATAACCCACGGAAAGAAATCTCTAAAGTGAAATTAATGGATCTTAAACATGTATGTAAGTTTTGTAAACCCAAATGTAGAAGCGTATATTGACATGTGGAGCTATATTAAGTCCAAGTTTATGGTGACTTTTAACAATAAAGTATTCAAATAAAGTAATACAAAATGTGGTTTACAAGCTTAAGGCAAATTAGAAACGTTTCCAAGGAATGTGCTGCAGTACTGTGAGGGTAGTGTGTTTATGTTGGCTATAGTCTTTTTAATTTTAGTATTGTATTTTTTTTACCTGTGATATTGAATGCTTTGTTCTAGTTATATGTTCCCTTTTTAAAAAGAAATAATAAAGACTTCCGAAAATCACTTTTTTATTTGTTACTGATCTATTTAAATTTCTAAATAACTCTTTTTTTCACATTTTGAAGATGTTGTTTTTATGAGAATTCATAAAAAAACATAGATGTATATATATAAAAAAAAAAAACAACATTAATACTCATTGAAGAAAATTCCATTTATTTACCCACACCAGGGACAGTATATAGAGTATAATACGTCCCTGCCCACACACATCTCTGACAAAGACTAGAATAGGTAGACTGGTTCAGTATAGACTACAAACTCTGATCTTCCTGGTTGATGATGCAGGTTATGATACGATCTACTGATGTTCGATTTGTTAAAGGCATATATAATTTGATTACCTGTAATTAAAAAATTGACCAGCTACTTACATACTCTTTTCTTGTCAAACAATCTTAGGCGAATATTACATCAAATAAAGAATGAGTGTGAAAATAGCAGCATAATTATACTTGTAGTTTCTTCTTCACCCTAAAGACAGATGTTTGAAAACCTTATCCAGGTAAAATTAAAGAAGATAAAGATGTTTCAAAATCTTCAACAATTTCGGGACAAAGATCACCCAATGGTCAGATTAAATATAATTGGAGTTGAACGTATTAAAGCATGGTTACTGAAACATGGTGTACGACTCCATTTCCAACACAGCCTGATACCATATGGCTTTTCACTCGCCTGTACATGTACAGCGGGAGCGATAATTCACGACACTATCGGCTACCAAGCCAAACAACAAACGTACAACATCATCTACCACTATAATTATAGGTCGGAGATACAGTAATGATCAACGTTATTTCAGTGTACTGATTTTGAGTCCGGTGAAGAGGATCAGCTAAACTTAACTTATATGTCCAACTGACCGATGTAATGTCGTGCAGCACCATACAATCTTAACCATATACAAGGGTTTGTTACACTGGCTATCAGTCGCTATGATTATCACCTATTTACCTATCTATGTATTGACATAGCAAGTGTCTTTACTATACAAGGGTTTGTTACACTGGCTATCAGTCGCTATGATTATCACCTATTTACCTATCTATGTATTGACATAGCAAGTCTCTTTACTATAGCATATGACAGTGGCAGATCCAGAGGTTTTTTTTGGGCTTCAGGAAACTCCCCCAGCCTGAGATTTTTTCTTTAAAAATCATGTATTTTCACCATTTCCTCAATTTTTCACCATATGCC